ATGTTTGGATATGGGGCGCAGCCCACTAGTTATTATTTATTAGTATTATAAATATCTAGATCTATTGGTGAACAAAAGTAATTTTTTAAGTAATAATTCTTTTAAAAAAATAGCATGTATATTATTATAGCATTATGTTGTTCTAACAAATTTAGTATGTTCACAACCGAAGCCTAATATTTTCGCTTACCACACAAACGGGCGTATATCATCATCAGCATTGGCACGACAGCCCTTTGTGAGCCTGGGCCTTCCTTAGAAGATTTTCCCATTCTGCCCTGCTCCCAGCAATTGTTTTCCAGTTCTTTACTTTTAGGATGGCAAAATCCTCACCTACACAGTCCTTCCATCTCTTATACGGGTGTATATACTAAATATTAATTTTGCTTGCCTCATATTGTTCATGAAACTGATAGTTAAGTTCTAAATCGATTAACGAATCTCCTTAACTGTAGTTTATAACGGTATATTATTAGTATTTGCACTCAGAAGAATAATTGTAAAATGGTTAATAAGATTAGGCACTTTTTAAATAACTATTTTATCTTAAAATGTAGCGCAGAATGACGTAGTAATAATAAAAAAATTAAAAAAAAACAATTCTTTAGTTTTAAACTGTTAATATAATAGTACATGAAAATACCTTTACATTAGCGATACAAAAGTATGTATAGAAAAATAATATTTTTATGACTTTTATTAATTTTTTGTTGATGACACCAAATGACCAATATGACAATAAATAAGGGAAAACTGAATTTTACCACGTGATTTAAGGACTGATTAATGCATAGACAATAATGGGAATTTGTGATAGATCAATTAAGTTCTTATGTTACATGGAGATGCGTTCCAGTTCTCGCGAGTTTTTTCGATCTTGTCTTTTCTTCTGGTCTCTAAACAAATTAAAACAAAAGTTTCTTTTTATTTATGGTATTGAGATTATGCATAGTTAGTACTTAATTTGTAATTTTAACAACAAAGCCTCATTTTTAATTTTAACATAAATAGTGAGTGTTGAAATTTTTAAGTGAGATTTGAAGCATGCGAACTTTTACTTCCACATAAGCTCACGCATTATTTGAAAGGAGCATCAAAAGTTGTCTGGCATTTACAAAAGTTGTCTGTTGGTTTTTAAAAATGTCATTACTTTAAAATTAAAAAAGAAAAGAAATTACATTTTCATTTATCTAATATTTAATTTGAATTTTTCTTTAATTTGTCATAAATTTAAGTAACTCGAGGCAGTTACGGTCTTTAAAATGCTTCGACTTGATCTGTAGGTTGAATAATTTATTCCTCATTCAGTTTCCACTAGGACACATTCAATTTTTGGTTCCGATTCTTACTCAATTTCTGCAAAGATATTGATTCTACAATAATTACACGAACAACGATTTGGCGATATTCTGGAGCAGATTTCAGTTCTACGATTTGGAAGTTTGACGATTGAAATAGCAGTTTTAAACTCCGTAGTCTTAAAAGTTTGAACCCAATCTAGAAGACAAAGGAACTCCATGATTAAGCATTGGGTGCCTTCGTGCAGGACTTTTTGACGCAACTAACTAGCACTTGCGTTACATAGAGAGGAAAACCACTAAAACCTCCCACGGACAGTCTGACGGCAAGGGCACTCTAACTCATAATTCGTCTACCTCTGAATCAATTTTGCGGCAGTACTGTGGACGGTATGAGCCAGGTGCGGAATTCGCATCAACCTGCCTATCGGTGGCAGGTTTTTTGGGTGGCAGATTAGATTAACAAATCTTTTTTTGGTGAAGGGGCTAATGTTTGGATATTTGATTTTTACGGAGTCTATTCCTTCCAACCATGTTCATTGTATCTTTAAATCAAAATTTGCACAATAAGAGAGCATTTTTATCCAGTGCATTTAATGAATTAAAATATCCGTTTTAATAATTTTGAGGGGGATATTTTTTACCTTTTTTGGTGCGATTGTTTTGATCACTTTAATTACATTCGAAAAGGTGAAGGATTAAACGAAATTTAAATTTTTACGCAACGTATCTTTATTTTTTGTGATTGCAATGTTAACAAGTCTCCTTTCAAAGATTATAAGAAGGGTAAAACTCTTTAATTTTGTTAAAAGAATAATTTCCTTGATACCAGTTTGCGAAGAATTGGAAAGTAAGTTTAATTCATATAACCACTATACTTAATCACAGAATTTCTTGCTCCAATTTTTTCATTATTATTTATTCTCCTCTGAATTTTATCATTTGTTAAGAGCATTAAGTGCTACAAATTGCTTAGCTCTTAAGTACTCTGACTTAAACTTACAAAAAGTCAAACATAAAATTTGTAAAATCCATCATATTTGAGAATTGGTAGTCTCA